CAGAGCTGAAACTATAGTGAGCCAAAAGAAATTAAATTCTAATTTGCTGCTACTACTACAAATAATGTTAATACTTTATAACACTGATGTGAAAATTAGTCTCTGATTGTTCTGATCATCACTGAGATAATTATCTACAAATGTCTAGTACAGGTATTAGCATAATAAGATTAAACACCCAATATTGTGTGTGTGTGTGCTTCTGTTTCCATTCACAAGTCTCCTTAAAGCTCCAGGAGTTGCTTATCCAAACAGTCTGCAGCTCTCTACTGACCCCTGCTGACTAGCATCAGAAGAATCTCAAACCCCCCCCCCCCTTCAGTATTCTCCCCACAAACACAAAATATCTGATATAAATCTTCCTCCTCTCATATTCGATCCACGTCCCAATTAATTCACAGCGTTACATTATCTCTGCCATCAGCTTCCTTTTTATCTAAATGTCCAGTTTTATGATCAGCAGAGATTTAATGAAGGGAATCAGTGGGAGGTCCATGTTTCAACCTGCTCTCAGCTCTGAGCATATTTTTTTTTCTTATTTTGCTGTTGAGTAAAGTTGCACTTTAAAATGAGCTAGAATGTATATTTCTAAATGAACCCAATGGACGCCCCACATACCCTAATGTATGTCTTTATCACAGACCGTATATGGACGATAGACGCCTTTTCAAAAGTGTCTTGATCACGCCCTGGCTGCACTAAACCTCACCTCCTCCAAGTTAGTAGATGGAACATGAGCCATTAAAAAGTTAAAAATACACGTTAATAAATCAATTTTATTAGGACTCAATGAAACTGATGTTCAGTGCAAAGGATTGTGATTCACAGCATAAAATAAAATCTGCACAACGTAAACTGGATGGATTTTCACCCCAAGGAAGTGAAGTTTCCACCTTGTTTGTTTGTTCGTTTGTCAGCTTGATTACTGGACATGTTACCATCATTAAACTTTGTGGAGGGATGTGATACTGGTCAGGAGAGAAATGGACGAATTTTGATGTGGATCTGATGCAGTTGTTTTCTATACTTCCATTAATATTTCAGGATAGAGTAAAAAAAGAATCAGGAATATACGGAACTGATATCTGACCACAATGGAGCAGCTTGTTTGAATTTCAAGAGGATTCCTGGGCCTTTGCGGACATTTGTGCTCGACTGTGTTTCTAGTTGTAGCTGGTTTTATTCTCTATTCAGGGGTCTGTGCAGAACCTTCATCCCTCCAGTCCCTCTCTTCCTCTCCACCTCCTCCCACTGCGACCCAGCCTCTGTCCTGTGTGTCACCCAGATGAGATGAATATGCATGGTATTGAAATGAGGGTCTTCTCAGCTCTGTTTACAATAGCAGGACACACATGGGAACTGTTGCCATGGTGAGGAGCATAGTATGCCGACTGACCCGAAAAGTAAACTGACATATACATATTTTGCATTTTCAAAGGGCGCAGCACATTTTGAATGAAAGCTGGGCCGAGAATTTCAAACTGTAAAGGACGAAAAAAACGACACCTGGAACAAAACAGCATCTAAGTTTGATTAACGTCAACGACTATGAGCTGAACTAGTCGAGGGAAGGAGTCAAATGATTCATGACATTGATGTTAAAGCGTTTCAAAGAGTTTAGGAAGAGAAAGACAATGCTTTGAGCCGATGCATCCTGACAAACCCTCCTCAGATATTCCATCATCTTCCTCTAAATCCACAATGCATGATGGGACGTTCCCGTGGTCTCCCCCCGCACTGCAGCCCGAATCATCGATATGAGCCCGTGATGTACGAGTCCGGAATGGACGGAGCTGAGGTACGGACGCTCTCTGACAGAGACAGATGGGCTCTTACATCCAGATCAAGGCCAGAACACTGAGTGGAAGGGGAGGTCTGGTGAAACGCTGTATTTCATTGATTCTCTGGGCGAAATTATCGTTTCACTTAGGCCCCATTTACCAAGGAGGTTGGGGTCGTCCATCGGCGAGGCAGAAGTTAATTCAGTCTGTAATAGAGGGAGCTACAGCGGGGTCGATGTTTGAGTCCTCTGGTTGGGGGCTGAGGCTGCTGAGGTTTGGTAGGAAGGTCAAACACTGGACAACAAGCTTGAAGCTAAATGGAGACATATTGGAGAATGTCCATTCCATTTACACAAAGCTTTAAGGACCACTGTGTAGGATTTAAGGGAATGATTATGTTTTCATTCATGTGTGAACACCTGAAATGAAGAATCATTTTTTATCCCCTCAATCTTCTGATTGACGTACTCAGTACAATGTTTTAGTATTTACTTCTTTTCTTTTATTGTTGTTTATTGTTTGAATCCATGTTTGGTCTGTTTTTATTGTTGTGTATCTGTTTTTATTTGTAATATTTGTCCTTGAGTGTCATGAAAGGGGGAAAGGGAGGGATATTCAATTGATTGCAGTCTGCAAGCTCACCACTAGATGTCACTAAACCCCACACACCAGTTTTTTTTAAATATTTGTCAGTAGAGTTGTAACTTGGTTAATGAATGAAAACGTTACTTGCAGGACTACATGGTTGTTAAGCCTTGAGTTTGATAGTTTATTCAGCGCCATCTTGTTCTTTATAAACCAGAAGTAACCATATTTGGAGAATCAGGGGGTGGGGCCTGACTGAGAGCTCGTGGACACTGCACGCCCGCCTACACCTGTGGGCTACACCTATTGGACTGTACCATCTGTCAATCACATGGCATCCATCCAATGTATAAATTGCTCTATCGTCTATTTGACTCTTAATGAACCATATTTTACTAAATGAACATCAAGTGTATTGAAGAAGACTTGAAACTAGATATTTAAACATAAACTCCTCAAATGTTTACTGACGTTTTCTCAGGCTTCCATAGATACTGACCTCTTTTACTGTAAAACCACTGGAGTTGCCCTCTGCTGGTCATACAAGTGAATACAGGTTTCAGTACTTTGGCTTCACTTTCCTTTTTTATTAAGAGTCTATGATTCAATCGAAAGATTTGTGAAGCTTAAATCTACTGGCCCTGATGTAGCCAAGAATTTTTTTCTTTCATTTCAAATCTGTACTAGAAGGTTTTGCTTCCTTCTGAGATGCTGTCGGATCCACGATGTTAGAGGAAATCTTACTGTCGTCTTCCTGCGTCTCAAATCCTTGCGGGATATATTTTTTTTGTCTTTTAAGATTGTTCAAAGAGCGGTTTTGTCATAGAAAACACTTTCGATCATTCTGCCTCCTCAGACTTGGACAGAGTTTTGGGGAGAGGAAGGTAAACAGAATAAAATGTGAAGTTCGCTCACAGAATATTTATCACACATCTCCCTCCTCCATTTGCGCTCAATCACTTTAAAGTTTGAAATCCCTCAACACCTTAAAAAACACAACTGTCACAGAGTGTTAATGCACATTGTCACACACACGCCTCCTGAGTTAACGGGCCCATTAATTCAGAATTGCAGCTGGAGACACACACGAGTCGTTTCCACCGGTTCAAAATGTTTGTTTGAGCTCTGTCAACTCATAAAAGCAGCGAGGGGTTATTTGATGAGCTCAGGCCATCAAACACAGTCAAAAGCTTCGTTCATCGTTCACAAAGAACACACACAGACACCAAACACCTAATTTGACTGGTTACACCTGCACCTATTTTGATTTTCCTGATGCTGCATAATGAGCTGCATTACAATAGATGTAGGTCACCTTGGCAACAGCATCAGGAGGCAAAGAAGAGCAGACACTTAAACATCTATGAGGAAACATGGATGTCCATTCATCAACCCTCCGGTGGGGATGCTGATCGCATTTCTTTTTTCAAAATCAGTCGCATGATCATAATTCCTCATCTGAGCATTTGTGGCAGGACTGAGGCCAGAGACGGTCAGGGACAGGAAGAGAGAGGACCAGGAGACTGCGAGGGAGAGGGAGAGACATGCTGACGTCGTCCTTGCATCTTCCAGCATTTTCTGTTTTTGTCCCACGCTCTTTCTGTCTCATGATTAAAATATTTGTATACATTTGATGAGCATCATTATTGGAAATGTACAATGTTTTTTCAAAGTAAAAAAATGAATATTCATACATTAACTTCGTCTACGATATCTACATAAATTGGCTAAATCTCTCAATGGTCCCATAAACTGCGAAACAGGCTTAAAAACAGAATTCCATGGGAAATTAGTGCATTCATTAATTTTTGCATTTGTATTTTTCAAATGCTGAAAGGTAAAAGCAACAGCTAATATTTTTATATATTTTTTTTTTGTTGTTGTTGTTATATCTCATAGTGTAAATGCTTTTATGTTTAGCCGCTGTATGCAAACCCTCATACTGTAAAGTTACACAGCGTCCAGTTGGACTGTAGATATTAATAATTGAGGGGTTTTCTGCCTCTGACAGATTACACCACTTGACCCAGCCTCTCTGCTCTTAACTAAATAGAGGGCTGCTCTTTTGCTCTCAGTTTTTTTTTTTTTTTTTTTTTTTACTTGAGCTTATCTGTGTTTGCAACATGAGCTTGAAGGTGAAAACGAAACTAAACGTGTTCCCAGAAGCCACCAAGAGTTTTACAGGAAAATGTCTGCTGACTCATGTTATTTGACTTTAGAAAGTTTAATCATAAATGATAAGTATACAAAACGAATGGTCACAGATTGACCCAATGAGCTGTTGACAATGTTCCACTCTGTGAGCAATAAAGTTGAAACTAACCAGAAAACTAACAAAACTTAAACATTGATTGATTCAAATCCAGAATCAAACAAGTCAGGATTAGTTTCAAATCTTTCTTTTAGAACGTGACAGTGTGATGGGCGTGTCTAGACTTCAGTGCTATTTATTCCACCAGCGCTTGATGGCACCGTGCGTAATTGCGCACAGAGCCGCACCTCTCTCCCTCCCGACCAGGTGAGGAAACTTCCCCAGGTTCGTGTTACCTGTCCAGAGTCATACTTTACACAACAGGGAGTTTAAGTTTCTCCACCGCCGTCTCAGCCATGGCCGCGTCCCAGCTCGTGTGCATGGAGGACGGCTGCATCGGAGTCAAAATCCCGGAGTCCAAACCGGAGTTTTACTACAGCGAGGAGCAGCGCGTCGCCATCGAGGAGCTGCTGAGGAACGGTGACGGAGCCTTCAAGACGCGACTGAAAGAGGACAACATGAAAGATTTCTTGTCCGCCAGAGAAGTCAAAGTGCTGACGAACACGTTCAGAAACTTCCAGGAGGACCAGGAGAGCGGCAGCAGCTCGGGGCAGGCAGCCGCCGGCAGCGACGCGGACTCGGGGGTCCACTCCACCTACTGGCCCCAGATGTCGGACACAGAGGTTCCGCCGCTGGACATCGGCTGGCCCAGCGGGGGGATGTTCAAAGGTTTGACCCGCGTGACCATGCACACGCACCCGCCCAGAGAGAATGGACCCCACATTAAAGAGGTGGTGCGGCGGCTCATCCAGGAGGCCAGCAAGGTGAGGAGGCCCGGGCACACAGGACCGGGACTGGGGAGCAGAGGACCAGGGTCAGGATGAGAGAGGACATGGGCAGAAAGAGAGAGGACCAGGGAATGACTAAATATATAATAACGCAAATTATTAAATCTGAATGAAATAACAAGTAATGAAGAGTCTTGCAGGTGCTGCTGTTGCTACACAGCTAGAACACAGTGTTACCACAGTGTGATAGCGTCCACAGCTCAACTCCCTCTACAGGAAGTCACCAGGGTTTATAAATACATGTTGGAACCTTTTACTTATCTTCAGCAGCTTTTACTTTCACAACACACACACGTTTAACCACATGTCTAAACTGGAAAAACAAGCGAGTGATGATAGTGAAGGGTTTGATCCAAAGGCCATTTCTCTTTGTCTCTTTGGAATACAAGTGAGAAAACTGCCAGCCTCATCGGTCAAAGTTTGTCCAACATCGAAACACGAGTGGAAATAGATCATAAAACAAAAGATTGTGCTGATGAAGATTAATCTGAACCGCAAACGTTAAACAGATCTTTTCAGGGGACTAAGACAAACAGTAAATAGTCTTATGGGAACAAGAAACCAGACGTGTGATGGTACATTTTAAGTTTTCTTGCAGTTTATAGATAAAATGATCCACATGTTACTCAACAAACTCATCTGAAGGTGCATCGATTATAAATGTTAGTTGTTAGCGTCATGTTGATTTAATAAATGATCTCGTCAGAACTCGGTTCTCTGCAGACGTTTTCACTGAACTCCCAGGGAAGGAGGGATGTGTGGATCTTGATGGTGTGTTGAGAGGACTGATTTCTATACATTTTAATGCAGCTTGATTGTATTTGACTGTCGGAGACATGAGCTGTGCTTCTAGTTTTAATGGAAACTCAGGGAAGGAGAGAAGAACAGGAAAGTTTTGTTGTTTCATTGGCTCTTGTTTGTTTGTCCTCTCGGGCCTTTGTGGTTGTATGTTCAGTTGTAGGTGCGGTGATTAGAACCTCCTCTTACAGTCACTGGGATCCTGGAGCTTAATCAAGTTGCCCAGTGTAATGTTTACTGGTAGATGCCAGCGGACTGGACTGAGTCATCTGTTCCGCCCGCTCACAGCAGCACTCTCTGAACCCCCCCCCCCTCCCTCTGCCCCTTTAAAACTGGGTCAGGGAGGACGACACATTCGTCTTTTCAAATACCTGCTGTTGCCTTATTACGTAACTTTGTTTTTTCACCTGAACAACTTTTGATTTGAACGAAATAAAAACAGTATAGTTAAAGCAAGAAACGATTTCTGAGCATAAAAAATAGTCCAGTAGGAAACTTCATCAGTGATGTTGACTGATTCTTCACTTTCTTCTGTGTTATTACTCCGTGACTGAGTAAAAATAAAAACTCAATTAAAGTAAAGACACCTGACAAATCCACTCATGTGCAGTGATGAAGTATTAGTACTGTTACTTACCACCTCTGCTCAGAAGTTATTTTTAGAATTCACACCTGTGTTTACACATGTACATGTTACTTCCGGGTCGCTCCGCCTTTCAGGTTATCAACTCATCTTCCAGAACAATGTGTACTGAGTGTATATTTACTAGTACACATACTCTTTTTGCATATTTCAGACCCTCAGCTCTGTGAACATTACTCACCATTCT